TAACAGAGTATTAAAGAAAGTAAGAATCTAAATCTCCTAAGTTTCAATCCTGAATCAGCACTTGCCAGCCCTCTTGAGAAAGTACATTTTTCTTGCTGCTGAGCTGAGCATAAATTGGTCAAATGCTTATCTGCTTGAACATGTTCCTAAATTTTTCTTCAGTGCTTGTTTCCAAAAGTTTGATCTCCATCTGAAAATATTTACTCCCGTATCAGGTTGGCCTACCAGCTCGTGGTAAAACCTTCACTGCGGTTAAGCTTACAAGGTACCTTCGTTGGTTGGGTCATGAAACTAGACATTTCAATGTTGGGAAGGTAACCATATTCTTACTCCGATTAACTGCCTTGCATAGTTAATATGTTTAGTTTTCTTACTTGCAAAATTAACTGAGCTTTCTTTTGTTGAAAATGTGTGTGCAGTATCGCCGTCTGAAGCATGGAGCAAATCAGGTGGAAAACCTGCAATCTATGCGTTGTTAAGTGTTATCATGTCAAGTTTCCTGTTTCTTAGCTAGGATACTAGAAACCTAATAATAAGTGTATAAAATCATGCTTGGAATGCATTTTAAAGGGATAAGTTTAGCATGCATGCATGTATTGTACTTGCACATCCTGTTGGATTCTTCAATACCATTATCTGAGCCTATGCCAGTAAAACTAATATCCTGTTCTAGAGCGATGTAACATTTTTTTGCATTTTTATTGGCTCAGCCTGCAGATTTTTTCCGTGATGATAATCCTGAAGGTATTGAGGCACGTAATGAGGTTAGCACACCTTATTGACTATTATGCATTTATTACTAAGTATTTCAAAATTGTGTTCCTACCATTCAAAATAGGTGTCATCATAGGCCATCTTCTGATTCACCAGTACATGCTCTTATACATTTTCAAGAAAAAAGCCTTGCGATCTTTTCACTGCTCTCATTTTAAAAGTACATTGGTAATCATAACTGCCTACCTTACTAAAGGTATCAGGCCCTATCTGGAACACACAAAGTTTTCAGACTCCTTTAATTGAACCGTAGTGTTGTGAAATTTCTCAAAACCTTATGGGTCCTAAACTGGATATTGTAGGGTTACCCTGGTAAATTTAAGCACAAATCAATGGAGCAAAAGTTTATTAATGGCTTCTATAAAAACTTGTAGTGTTTAAATGCCTCAAAATTGTGATTTGTAGTCAGTGCAATATGTCCCCTGCATCTTTTTCAATATGGTTACACATCGCCATTAGCTATAATTATGGGACTTAGGCTTTGCCCATAGATTCTCTTCATGAAGGTTCTACCAAGGACAGGATGTCAAGTTAGCACCCTAGATTTTCAGAAGTCTAATGGGATTTTGTGACAACCAACCCTTAAAAGTAGAATATTGAAACTTAACTGTATCTTCTGGTGTACTGTTACCAGGTGGCTGCTTTAGCAATGGAGGACATGATAGATTGGATGCATGGTGGAGGTCAGGTAAGTTGGTGGTGCATAGCCTGCATGAAATTATGAAATGTTGCACTCAATCTGACCAGATCAACTTGTCTCTAGGTTGGTATATTTGATGCAACAAACAGCACAAGAAAGCGAAGATATATGCTAATGAAAATGGCTGAAGGTAACTGTAAGGTAATTGATAGCATTCGTATTTACATTGGGTATGATTCTTTTATATTTGCATATTTAAGCATCTTCAACTAAAATTATTTCACATCTATGGAAGTCAGCACTAAGCAGAATACACTGCGGTACTGGAAGTTTATCTAATAATTTAACCATGTGCCTTGGTGCATTTTGTACATTTGCGTTTATAATCTTGACCTTCTCATAATGATTGAAGTCACTTTCTGCAGATTATATTTCTGGAGACAATATGTACTGATCCAAACATAATCGAAAGAAACATACGGCTGAAGATCCAACAAAGTCCAGACTATGCTGATCAGTGAGTTTCTCAACATTGACCCTTTATTAGATAGAAGTAAATTGCTGCCTGAATCGTGTGGAAATGTTGCAGGCCAGATTATGAAGCTGGACTGGAGGACTTCAAGAAACGTTTGATCAATTATGAAAAGGTTTCAACTATTTATGCTCAGATGAAGTGCTACATGCTAAGTAAAATTATGTAGTTCTTTGAACTATTTAGTCTTGAATCAATTAGCATTCCTTTTGCAGGTCTACGAGCCAGTAGGGGAAGGTTCTTACATCAAAATGATTGACATGGTAAAGGGGCAAGATGGTCAGTTACAGGTAAGCTCTTCCATACCTTTGCATATTCTACAGCACATGAATCTACATTAGGAACTTTTACATGCCTATGTGGCAGAAGGATCAATGGCATGTGTACAAGTTTTTGTGTAAATGTGTAATCGAATACCTCTGGAAATACTTTAATATGAATATGATGTTGTGCAAAATAGCCCATATTTAGATAAGTTATTTACACATAACATGGCAATAATATTTACTATGATATGCTTTCAGTTTTTGAATCTTGAGATTCTATGTTTTGTTTAGTGTTTCTTCATTTGAAAGTTATACTTTTCTGACCTTGTACCCAGGTAAATAATATCAGCGGTTATCTCCCTGGGAGGATTGTCTTCTTCTTGGTATGTATTTCTAGACTCATACTATAAATAACTGCTCGCACTTTCTATGTAAGCGTAATATCTGCATGTTCTAACAGATGCACATATTTTAAATGTCTGCTTCAAGTTTATTTCCACGAGTGTATTCAAACCAATTGGTGACACATCTTGTTGCATTATGCTACTGCAGGTGAACTCTCATCTTACACCACGGCCTATTTTGCTTACCAGGCATGGTGAGAGTTTACATAATGTTAGAGGAAGAGTCGGTGGTGATACAGTTCTAAGGTTTGCTTTCCCTAAGTTTTAATCTAACACCTTCAGATGATACCTTCTGCACTTAGTATGTCATTTTGAGTTCTGTGAGTAAAATATTAAAATTCTTGGTAATTTTTTCATTTTATATATGTTTAGTTATTGCACCGGTAAACAAAGTACCATGTAAATATGTCGATCTTATTGGAATTATATTTCTGTATTGATTGAGCTAATAAATTCCTCTTTAACTGCCTGTTTATGGTGTGCAGTGAAACTGGAGAACTTTATGCAAAGAAACTAGCCAACTTTATAGAAAAGCGGCTCAAATATGAGAAAACAGCAACTGTAAGTAATTTCCCATGATTTAATGATGGATCTAACCAGCATAACATGGGCTGAAAGAGTGGTTTTAATTTTTAACTATCCAATTATTTAGATATGGACCAGTACCCTTCAGAGAACAATTTTGACAGCAAGTCCAATTGTTGAATTTCCCAAGGTATTTGGTTAGATGATTTAGAAGTCTTCTTAAAGAACTCTTGCTAAGTAAGTACACCAAGATTGTTCGACTTGTGTTGTTTGTAGATACAATGGCGTGCTCTTGATGAGATCAATTCTGGAGTTTGTGATGGGATGACTTATGAAGAGATAAAGAAAAATATGCCTGAGGAATTTGAGTACGTATAATAATTTTTTGATTGGCACCATGTGCATGGGATATCCGTACTTACCATTCATATGATGTGTCAGACCAATGTATTATTTCCATGCTGTACAAATTAAGCAAAAACAGAAATGAAATTAACAGTATTCTTTTTGGCACAGTACTGAATATTTGGATCTCAAAAGACAATTGTGAATGCTTGTTTCAACCAGGTCACGCAAGAAGGACAAGCTAAGATATCGCTACCCCCGTGGAGAATCTTACCTCGATGTGATACAGAGGTCAAAACTATAGTTTCTACTTTCTAATTATACAGACAAAAATCTCCATAGTTTTGTTTCCTAAAAAAACTCGTACTGGATTACTTGGTTTCTCTCTATGTCAAACCATGACAGATTTCAGTTCCCATGTAACTATACCCTAACAGCTGATGTCATAATAACCCTCAGGTTGGAACCCGTCATCATCGAGCTAGAACGCCAGCGTGCACCAGTGGTTGTCATATCTCACCAGGTAAATTGTTATAGCTGATGGATTATTGGAAAGTTGGAGTGCGGATGGCAGAAATACTGAGCTTTGAACTATTTGTCCCATTGTTAGGCTGTACTACGAGCACTGTATGCATATTTCGCGGACAGGCCTTTGAGAGAAGTTCCAGAGATAGAGGTGATTCATTTGACCTTCCTCTTCTTGATCAATGTTATATTGTAACAGATGTACTAGAAGCATGCAATATGTCTGAACTAATGGCAATTGTTCTTATGTATGTAGATGCCACTACACACCATAATCGAGATACAAATGGGCGTTCTCGGTGTTGAAGAGAAGAGGTACAAACTCATGGACTGAAATACATAAAGGCAGCAGGTTGGCTGTTTCGTATAGTCATTCAGCAAGTACAGATAAACACAAGCTTTTTCTTATCTCTCTCCACACGGTGTGAAACCTACTACAGTGTATTTTTTTTTCTGTGAAAAAACATATTGGTCATTGTAAATAAAGAAAAAAAAACATACTCCTAATACGGAACTGTAAAAATGGCATGCTTACTGCAACGAATAAGGAATACGGACAGTGGCTCAAATTAACAATTCCAAGGCTTATTCAGAAATATTCCATTACCAGTGATTGGTTGATCCTGTGGCTGATGGGACCAATGAATCGTAGTGCTTTTGCCTTGGTTGTACTAGTAGACTTGTACAGGACCTGCCAAACTATGAACTGTCATGTCCTCCTGTAGTCCTGTGGCCATGTGAGGACACAAGGCAGGCCGTTTTCGTGCTCCAGAAACTCTGCTGAAACGATGGCATGGCACTCGACAGGGTGCCAAACTTCCCTCGATTCCATGCGGCATCCATGAACGCCCTCACGTTGTCCCTGTCTGCCTGCAAAATATATAGCTCAGTCGCCGCTTGGTCCGTCCGATCACCGGACCGGCGCCATGTGTACGTGATTGAAGCCGGAGGGAGAGACTGCACCGTGCGCCGTCTGCCCTGCACCGGCCATGTCGCTGGCTCGTTACGACGCCAACCTCCTGCTGGCCGCGGTGACCGCGCTCTCAGCGGCGGTCGCCTTCGTCGCGGCGCTCCACCTCTACGCGCGGTGCCTCCTGCAGCGGCGCGTCGCCCTCGCAGAAGGGCAAGGCAGCCCCCACGTGGTCGTGCTGCAGCGGCAGCGCCCGCCGGACGGCTACGTGGTCGAGGTCGTCGAAGGCGCCGGCGTGGGCGGCCAGCAGGCCGCCGGGCTGGACGCCAAGGCGCTGTGCGCGCTGCCGGTGTTCACGTGGGAGTCGTCCGAGCAGGAGAAGGAGGAGGAGGAGGAGGAGGAAGGCGGCGTCGCCGCCGAGCTGCACGGGCAGCAGTGCGCGGTGTGCCTCGGGGAGATGGAGGACGGCGAGCTGGGCAGGCTGCTCCCGGCATGCCGCCACGTGTTCCACGTCGAGTGCATCGACACGTGGCTCGGGGTGAGCTCGACCTGCCGGTGTGCCGGACGGCGGCTGCCGCTCCGTCGGCCGCCGGCGTGGACCACGGCGGCGAGGTAGAGCCCATAGCTATTGAGTGCTAGTATATATAGTCTATAAAGGGAGGTTATATATATATATACCCTAATAATAAAGCGACAAATTTTTCGGTCATTTTTTCGCCCACCTCCCTCTAACTATCGAATAATGAAGAGATTTTTCTATCCGGAATTATGTAACACGTGCTCATATGAGTTAGGATAGCTCGCGTCTGCCGCGATGCGGAGTGTGATTTGAAATAGTATTGGATCGTGTGTGGGTGAACCAAACTCAAAGAGGTAAAATTTGTCTCTCTTGCTTTTTTGCCCGTGCCAAAAAAAGAAAATTACCATCTAGAATTCACTCCCGAGCGCGACGCCGCTGAAGGTTTTGATCCCCCGCTATTCACGTCGGCACCTCGCTTTGGCTCCGTTCGGCTCGCAGAATTTTGGCTGAAACTGGCTGAAAACACTGTTCTGGCTGAATTGTTGTGAGAGAAAAATATTATTCCGACTAAAAAAAGAAAGCCGAACAAATCGAATATGGGGTAAGCCGAACGGGGCCAGACGATCCTCCTACCAGTGATGGACGTGGACCCATGCATAGATGGATCACGCATGTTTCTGAGTCAATCCCGTCTTGCACCGTAGACCGCAACGGTTTCTACTTCACCGCACGACTCGTCGTTTCTTCTGTAGGCAGCAGCACCGCCACAGGCGTTTCTGCTTCAACAGGCATCAGGCGCGACCTTGTCTTGACGGCCTCGGTGGTGGCGGAGTGCCCCGTGCGGCCGTGGCCGCTAGCTGGCCGTGCTGCCAAGGTCAAGATGTCAACGGGGAATTCCCCGTCGGGGGACAGCTTCCCATCCCCGTCCCCGTGGGATAAAAATTTCCCCATCCCTATCCCCGTGAATGCCAACGGGGAAGTTCTCACTCATCCCACACCCGTGCGGGGGATTTTATCCCGTTTCCCCGGAACACAAAATCCAACGAGACGGAGAAGACGGGGGGATGGAGGATCTAGGGGAGCAGGCACGAAACGGAGAAGAGGGTGAGGTACCGCGAGATCCGGCCGGCCAGCTGAGCCGCCGTCGCTGCCGGAGGAAGAGGCGATGCACCGCGTCGAGGGGCAGCCACCATCGCCGCCCGCCACGACAGAGAGGAAGAGGCGACGGCTGTCGGGGCCTAGGAACGGCCGAGCCGCAAGAGAAGAAGAGGAGGCAACCACGCCGGGAAAGTCAAAAGTGAGTCCGGCGGCGCGCGCCTGCAGCGCGCAACGCAACGCAAGAGGAGCGAGGGCCGATGGTTCAAGCCGGCCCTGCGCATGGGATTGAACGTGGTGGGGCAGCAGCGGGGAGCCCCGCCCTCTCCTCCTGGGCGGCATTCGCCATTGCCGGCCGCTTTCGGCCGATGAGAGGTGGATGAGAGGTGGAGCGAGAGGAGTGCGGGTCTGCGGCCAGGGGAGGCGGGGAGGAGAGGGTGCTGGGTGGCGAGAGGAGTCTGGCAGTGGCAAGAGAGAGCAGGCAGAGCTAGGTTTTTTCCATATATATATATATATATATATATATATATATATATATATATATATATATATACACACACACGTGGCATTCTTATGTGGGCTTTGGGCTGACGGGCCGACGTAATAAGTTGGACTGTTGGAGGCCAGGTGAAGAAACGGGGATGCGGGTTAACGGGGACGGGGGACATGCTCCCAATCCCGCCCCCGCCAGACCTGACAAGGAATGATTTTCCCCTATTTAGTTCCCCGTGGGGATAAATTTAGTCCTATCCCCGTTCCTTAATAAGGGAATTCCCCGTGGGAATCGGGGATCGAGTCCCCGTTGACAGCTCGATGCCCGGGTCATGCCGCCGTGTCGTCAAGTGTAGTCAGGAAGGCTCAAGACTGCTTGACGACAGTTTGCTGGCGGGTTTAGAGATTATATAAGCCTTCTTGATATTTAAAAAAAACTTGCGTACTTAATTAATTATCAGTAATTTTTTTGTTTTGTGTATCAGGAAAAGTGCAACAAGAAAATAATGTGGCTCGTATAGTTCAATCAAACGGGCCTAATCAGAGCAGCGCTCGATGAGCTCTCCCTGTGTCGACGGATGGAGCTGTGGTCCACGTCCGCCATGGTGAGAATGCATCTTATTGATCAAGTTTTTTTTCCTTACAAATGTTGTTGCATGCGTATGGGTCCTAGACCACTAGAGTGTTAGATAATCTACTACTTCCTTATGTGAATAAACATATTGAACTCATTATAAATCTTGTAAAGAGAAAAAAGCATGCTCACTTGCCGTGTACGGAACTGTAAAATCGGCATGCTTTATCTAGCAACGAATAAGGAATACGGACTAGATAGGATAGAGTTGTATAAATAGTTTGCCAAGGCTTATTTAGAAAGAGAGTTCAGATTTGCCACCTCCTATACAAGGCTTCGGACAACGCTGGTACTTGTATTGTGTGTATGCTCTGTTCTCACTCTTCTTGTATCTCTAGCCATAGTGTGTGTAGTCGGACAACCTCTATCATGCTCGACCTGTAGTCCTGTGGCCATGTGAGGATCGATTCACCAGGCAGGTGATTCTGTGGGCTAACAAGTGGTATCGAGCCGTACACTCTGCTGAAACCGCTGGCGATAATGAACACTAAGGCGACAGGGCTTCTGTGGCCAAACTTCCGGAGGTCGTTGTTTACAAGGTGCGGGGAGGTCGGCGAACCAGTTGGCGATCTTGTTGCACCAACTATGGAGAATGATCGGTGACCATGAAAGTCAAGCTTCGAGCCCGCGGCTCGGAATCTGTTGACAAGGTCACCGACAATGAGGAAGATGACATGTCGGCGCTATCCTCGCGCTCTTTGTCTGCGTGATTGAAGCCGGAGGACGAAGAGCTCTGCTAAGCGTGCGGAGGCTATTATGCTGGCGTCTTGCGATTCCGACCGGCCAAAGAAAGCGACGCTTACGGCTCAACCTCAAGTTCAAAGTTGGTGAAACGCCAATTTCTCCTCTGGCAGCAAGCGCTCATCGACGCGCTTTGAAGAGCCACGCGTCACCATCGATGAAGAAGCGGCGCTCTCAAGTACCTCCACTCTGCGCGGCAAAGTACATCCTGATCACTCTGTCCATAGAGACGATGCTGGACTTGTCCACCATCACTATTGAGGATGTGATAGGCCGTCTGCAGGCGGTGGACGAGCGTGGTAGTGCGACGGTAACGGCGACAGCGGCAATGCCCGCCGGACGAAGAGGAGTGGGGTGCTTAGAGGAACTCGGGAAGGCAGCCTCCTCCGGCCGTGGTGGTGATGACAAGCGCCCAGCAGGCTTCTTCGGAGAAGAAGCCAGTGCGCTGTGCGCCCAACGCTGCCGGTACTGCGGGAAGACGGGCCATTGGGCACGGGAGTGCCCAAATCACAAGCAGAAGAAGAAGAAGGCTAAGGCTCATCTAGCGCAAGCTAATGATGATAATGAGGCCACTATCCTGATGGCGACGTTCTGTGCAATGCGCGGCGTCGCCTCGGAGGAGAGGAAAAGCGACGCGGTGGAAGGACACAGGAAGGCCACGAAGGCTATCAACCTCGATGAACCATGCCGCCAAGTCCACCTCGGGACGTGTGGGCGCCACGTGGCTCGGCGGTGGTATCTCGGACTCGTGCCGGACGGCCACATGCCGGGCTCCAAAGCATCCTTGTTCGAGCTCGGCGACGATAGTTATTGAGTGCTAAAGTTTAGTGATGGCTCAAGGGTCAATCCAAGAGCGTGACACCATCATCTTCAAGTGCCGAATATATATATATATATATATATATCCCGTATATATATTTATCATCGGCATTGGTCCGCTAGATGAATAAAGCCACAAATTTGATCAGGGACGGAGTCCTTAGGATCGAGGACCGGAGCAATGACTTCTCGACAAGGTGAAGAGGTCCCTGAACGGTTGTACCTGCCTCGACCTAAAGTAGAGAGCAGCCGGTGTGCTGGCGGTAAGGCACACCGAGAACCGGTAGGCTGTGGCATGCCCGGTTCGGACATCTCGACTTCGCCGCTTGGTTGGTGGCCGGAAGATGGTCCGAGGCTACCCACATCAAGCACGGAGGCGAGCATGTGTGCAATGCCTAGTCGGGAAGCATTGAGGCTACCATTTCCATAGGCGGCCAAGTGTAGGACACGTGGACGCCTAAGAGGGGGGGTGAATTAGGCAACTTAAAGCTAACTCTAAACTATGGCCTCTCTTTTTTTTGCCCTTCTAGCAAAACCTATGCAAAAGATAATCTATCTAGATGTGCAACTACGGTTTTGCTAGTGTGTTGCTATCTCTCCGCAAATGATAATAATATGATCAATGTAAATGCGGAAGCTTAAAGAGCAAGGTAGAGATATGCAAACTCCGTCGACGACTCCGTATTTTTTACCGAGGTATCGAGAAGCGCGCAAGCTTCCCCTAGTCCTCGTTGGAGCCCCTCGCAAGAATCCTCGCAAGGGCCAAGCTCCCGGTCGGGTAACTCCGTGGATAGCCTCGGGCCTTCCCCACGCCAGCAAGTGGGTCTCCGATGTGCCTTCCGGCAAGCCTCTCCCGGATGCTCCCCGCCGTCTTCACTATCAAGCTTTCGGCCAAACGCCATGGGCCTTGTTCCTCCGGTACACGATGGCGGCCACACCACAAACGCGGTTGGTGTGATCTCGCAAGACTTCAAGCCCCTCCGATGTACAACACTTGTGCTCACAAGCACAGGGTGGCAAGAGGTATGCAAACCTCACTTAAACACTAGGCAAACACCTAGAGCAAGCGCATAAGCGATGGTCTAATCAACCTAAGCACCATAAGCACTTATGCTAATCACCTAATAAAACACTAAGCACTATGCATGTGGAGATCACTCAAATGGTGTATCAACACTCTTGATATGTTTCCTCAGCTCCACTCACCTCAAATGGCCGGTTGGGGTTGTATTTATAAGCCCCACTGAGAAAGTAGCCGTTGGGGTCGAACTCCCGCAATTACGCCATCTTGACCGGACGCCGAATCGTCCCGACCGGGACGCGTCCCGTCGTCCCGACCGTTATATAGCCGCGAACTACCGATCGGGACGACGCCGCCAGTCCGGTCGCTTCTCACCGGGACGCGTCCGGTCGCGATTCAAGGCTGGAACCTCTCTTCAGATCGATCGACGACGCTGCGTTCCTGCGTCCGGTCGGTTACCGCCAGCGTCCGGTCCTTGCGTCCGGTCGCTTGTCTGCCGAAAGCCACCGGTCCGGCGTCGGTCAAGCTTCCAGCGTCGGGTCCGGCGCAGTCGATGCGCCTCTCTATGAGCTCGTTTCTTTGCGATCTTGCGCACGGCTTGGTTCCTATCTTCATGCTTGGACTTTGCTTGACATCTTGGGTCTTTTCTTGTGCTTCTAAGGTCTTGCTTGAGGTGTTGATCATCGGATCATCACGTCGCCTTCGTCCAAGACACGTCTTGCACCCTATTGGTCTACAAAACAAACACTTGCAAATTCATTAGTCTAATTTGGTTGTGTTAGTCATCAAACACCAAAATCCAAAGTAAATGGGCCAAGGGTCCATTTTCCTTACACCAAGTATTGCGCGAAGGACGCTCTCGAGCTCATCCACGGCGACCTCTGTGGGCCGATCACGCCAGCTATAAACGGTGGTCAGCGGTACTTCCTCCTGCTCATGGATGATTGCAGTCGCTACATGTGACTACAACTCCTGACGAGCAAGGACGAAGCGGCGGCGGTGATTAAGAAGTTTAAGATGCGCTCGGAGGCCGAGAGCGGCAAGAAGCTCCGCGTACTGAGAACTAATCGCGGCGGCAAATTCACTTCGGTGGAGTTCGCTGCGTACTGCGCGGATCAGGGTGTGGTGCGACACCACACCGCGTCGTACTCGTCACAATAGAATGGCGTGGTGGAAAGACGGAACCTGACGGTGGTAGGCATGGCTCGATCCATGATGAAGGCCAAAGGCATACCGGCAAGGTTTTGGGGTGAGGCGGTGACCACGGCGGTGTTTATCCTCAACCGCGCTCCCACCAAAGCTCTGAAGGGCAAGACGTCGTTCGAAGTTTGGTATGGGTGCAAGCCGAGCGTGTCCTTCCTCCGGACATTCGGCTGCATCAGCCATGTCAGGAAGATAAAGCCGATCCTCACCAAGCTAGAGGATAGGAGCACACCGATGGTGTTCCTGGGCTACGCGGAGGGTACCAAGGCATACCGGCTCTATGACCCACGTGGAAACAAGGTACTTGTCTCGCGCGACGTCGTGTTCGACGAGAAGGCGGCTTGGGACTGGAGCAGTCCGAACATGGGGGAAGCCGGTGGCTTCACCAGCACCTTCGTCGTCGAGCACCTGGTCATCCACGGTGGTGGAGATGCTGGGGAAGAGGTGCCGAGCACTCCGGTAGAAGAGCCGAGCACTCCTGGGGCAGTGTCAAGCACTTTGGGAGGGATGCCGAGCACTCCGGAAGGAGCGCCGAGCACTCCTAGAGAGATGCCGAGCACGCGCAGAGTGGTGCCAGGAGGTTCTGCAGTGGTGGCGACCATTCTAGGACGGGTGCCGAGCACTCCCGTAGCAGAGCCAAGAGGTCTTGCAGTGGTGCCGACCACTCCAAGACTGACGCTGAGCACTCCTAAAGTGGTGCCGAGCACTGCAGGAGTTATGACGAGCTGTCCAAGAGTAGTGCTGAGCACTGCATCCGGGGTGCCGAGCACTCCAGGTGCTGTGCCGAGCACTCCGGCGGAACAGGGAACTCCATCGATGCCGATCGAGTTTGCCTCACCTCCAAGTGACATCAGTGAGTTCGTGGACGCCTTCCACGAAGGTGAGGAGGTGTGGTTCCATAGGGTGGACAACATCGTCAGCGGCATAGGGCCCTCAGGCCTGGCTGGTCGGCTACTCAATGATCAAGAGCTACTGCTCGTCAGTGCAGAGGAACCACCCATGTTCGCGCTGGCCGAGCGCGACGGAAACTGGTGACGAGCGATGATGGAGGAGATGAAGGCGATCGAGGAAAACGAGACTTGGCAGCTCATTGATCCACCTCCAGGATGCCGTCCGATCAGCTTGAAGTGGGTGTACAAGG